TGACCGATTAAATTTTTAATACCTGACACCAACCGGACACGGAAATTAATATCAGCAATCAATCTTTTTTTAGTGCTCTGGATATTTTTGTTTCTCCTGTATCGTTGTCTAACTAAAAACATACCTATAGTTGATTTCGTAAAATTCTTTTCTTTTGCCTATCTAAGGCTTCTTTAGTAGTATCATCGGTTATAAATACTTCTCAAAGAATTTGGTGAATTTGGTTATAGTTTGGTATACATCTTTTCCGAGTTCGAACTTAATGATTGTTTATTATACGTACATATTTTGATTCTTTAAAATTTATAGTACGAAATTTCGCTCGAGGATTATATATAATGGACATGAATTCGATTTGTTCTTTGCCACCGATTGGCCATCCTCCGCCAAAGAAAATTCCAGAGTTTCCAACGTCTAATTCTTCAATCGAACATATTCGTAGTTTACCATCACCACCGTAAGTATCTTTAAACGCATATATTCATATTCTTCCATTAATATCATAAAAAAACTTTTTTTTTTCGATTAAATTTTATCCATTTCATAGCATTGTTGAACCTCTGAACGAAAAAGGGGGTCAACATCTTCCACCCTTGACGTCAATTCTACAAGATACGACAACTCCCTTACCTCCTTCAATACAATTCTCAAAGCCGCCGCAGCACATTTTAAACCCAGCCATTCATAACTCACCGATCGCTCCTAATCAACCTAACCATTCCTCGATGGGATCTCAATTATCTTCTTTAAATAAAATCGAAAGCTATCCTGGTTATCATGAATCGAGTCAAAGTTCGATGACTGATGACATACATCCTCGACCGACGATAAGAAAACCTTCGTATGGTCCTTCTCTACCGTCAATTAATTCAAATTCTTATGGTACATCTGCACCGCAACAACAGCCCTGGCAACCTATCGAGCATCAACAGCCTTATCATTATCAACAACCTTTACAATCTCCTATTCATTCGCTACCACCACCACCGTACTTATATGACCAGCAACAGGCGACGCGATTCGGTCATGGTCTTCCTGTTCCACCACAACATTCTAATTATCCCCAATATGGATCTTACCTAAGTAGAGATAATTCCGAATCTCCTTATGTTCAAACTACTGAGCCACCTTTGGTTAAATTGGGAAAGGTAAAAATTGTCAGCATACATTTTTTTATTTTATTTATTTTTTTTTGTGTTAATGTGATTGATAAAATATGGTTATTATAATTAGGTCGTTGACCATTGTAGTCAAATTTCTCAGTTTGCCTCTCAGTATCGTGATGTGCGCCTTAGTCAAGGTTCATGGAATTCTATTACATTTCAAGTTAATGAAGTTCAATTGACAAATATAATAAACAGAGCTTACGATGTGCTAAATATTTTGACCGGATTAAAGAATGAAGTTACCTCAAGAAATTCTGATGTATGTAATAATTAATATTATTAATATAATTATATCATTAATATATACATATATATATATTTATCCATTTATTTTTATTTATTTATTTATTTTTTATTATTATGATTATATTATTGTTATTATTATTATTATAGCCTTCAATTGCTGGTAACGATGATTTACTTGACCTAAATCGAAAACAGCGCCCTGATATGGCCTCACAACGCACAAAATACAGAAAAAGAAGCGTAAGTCATTTATATGGTACATAAATATTTTAGTGATGGTTTAACTGATATATACGTATTAAATTTTTAGAAACGTGCTGCTCCACCAGGGAGATGCCATTCATGCAACATCTCCGAAACTCCTGAATGGCGTCGTGGCCCCGATGGTGCTAGAACGTTGTGCAACGCGTGTGGACTTCGTGAGTTTCTCTCCACACTTAAATATTGCTTAAAGATTGCTCAAAGATTGTATTGTCACGTGATACTAACTACTAACTACTCTAAATTATAAAGACTTTGCTAAAATTACAAGAAAGCGTGCATTGTCTGCTATGCAACAACAATTACAACAACCATCATCTACATCAGAAACCATTGTATCCGATATAAATCACAACTTACAAAATGATAATAATGGTCTTCATGACTTGGCTTCAATGCCAACACCCAGCGCTTCGGATGTCGAAAGAGATTCTCCTCCACTTAAGCAACCACGAACTGAGTCAAGTGACGACAATCAATTAAATTAACCATTCGTTAAAGATGTAATGATAAAAATGAGTAATTCAATGACGAAATTAATTTTCGGACATTTCACAAACACTCGATAAAATTGTTTAATAGTGCATATATATACACATTATACAACCGTTATTATTACATATAATTCATAGAATTTATTTGTTAAATACGTCAAATAGATTAGACAAACTCGTTTTATACATACTTTTTTTTTTCTTGGTGAAGGATTTTACCAGATTGTAAATTTTAAAAAATATTCTTTATATATATATATATATATATATATATATATATATACATATATATGTATTATTCGGCAAAAATTTTTGAATAATGAACATGTGCCGTGGTTGAGCAAAATTACCGTTATTCAAAAATTTGCCGAATAATGGTGTTATCCGACAATTTATGATCATGAGTTTTAATTCGATTAAACGTGAATATTCGTAACACATAAAATTACAGTCATGATCATAAGAGTTTGTCGGATAAATATAAATATATAGAAAGTGAACTTTTTACACAAAACACTTTTTTTTTTCCTG